TGCTAGCCGGTTATCGCTGGTCCTGGTCATGACCCGTCAGGCACTTGCTTTGGCCCTGGTGCAATATGGAGCCAATCTGCAGATGGCAGCATAAAATGCAAAAAAGGCAACGCGTCGAGGATCCGAACCATCAACCCAGCCTAGTCATCCCAACTCGAGGTCCTTGTCACTCTCCAGTACACCTTTCGTCGCTGCCAGCAGTTCAACCATGGAGAGCACATATGAAATTTCCCCGCACATTCATATGTGGCTCCCTTTTTTGGCTACCGTTCACGTTAGTTCAATGCGCAGTCCACTGGAGCCCTCTACTGTGCGGACAGTCGACGCCATAAATGAATTGAACGACTTAGTGGGTAAAACGACAATTTCTGACAAATCATTTTCACTCCTTTTTTAGCATTCAGAAGGTCATTTAGCGGAAATGAACCACAGTTCTGTACTCAGTGCTCATGCCCCTACATCATGCAAAAAATTATTTTCCAAAACGTCCCACGCCCTGAAAGACCTTCCTTGTTAGAGGCCAAAGAAAGATTTCTGCATGCCAAGATCGCCTCAAGAGCCTCAAACTTAATTGTTGTTCTATTTATCGAGCAACAGAACAATCTTTCAAGAGCCCATGACTAAGAAAGGCAGCATACAACTGATGAAACGATAAAGGATAAAGACTCTAGTGTTAATCAATCCCGTCCGAGGGACGCGCCCATGCACTCGACTTCCATACAGAACTGCCTTTATACTCCCAGAGTGAAGTGCGCTACTCGCCATTACACCACCTCTGCCCTAAACAACTGATAAAATGGAGGAGTGAGCATACAGGATCTTAGATACTTGACGACTACTCGAAAATGTAATGCCGTAATTATGTATGCGTTTGTGCTCATTTCAGGGGAGTCTCATAGTCTTCACTGCGCCCTTCATTTCATCTGGGCATCCTGGCGAAGATCATTGAGAAGCACAACATCCCCTTCCTTGTCGTTTACTCAATCCCTCAATTGCGCCCTTTTCTGATCTTAATATCTACGCTTCTAATGGGAAAGGCCAATTTTTTGGTATATCTTACACTTTCCCGGCTCCCGAGAGCACTTCCAGACACTCATGGCAACTTCATCCTTTCTTAGTCTACTTTTATGTCTAACCAATGTAAGTCGAGAAATCACCAACCGATTTCACCCACTTCTTTCGATCCCGGAAACGCTTCTGAACAGCAATATTTCATTTCCCCCTCTACGTCCTCTCTACTGTTCACCTAGTCCATTGCGAAAGTTTGGCATTACTTCTTTGCTGTATTATTTTACTCGATTCTTCTGATCCCGATAGCATTTCGGGCAGTGATGGCAGCCACCTCACCCCTTCCTTCGCGGGATTCACCATTCTTTGCTTACGGTATTTGACTCACTTTTTGCGATAACGAGAGTGCCTTTAAAAGCATCATTAAGCTCCGTCTTCTAGGTATTCATGTTGGTTACTCCGTCTATTGCGGAGGCAACACATTTCTTTTCCTGTTGTATCTTACCCGTCTTTTTCCGATGCCTCTTTAGTGTTTACCCCTCCATTGCGCCAGTTTGAAATCCCTCTTTCGTTGCATTATTCTTACTTCTTCCGATCCCGGGAGCACTTTGTATTTTTTAGATGATGCTAACAAGCTTACTACTTCGTCTTCCTTAATGCTTACCACGTCTACTGCGAATGAACAACACCTCATTTCTCGTCGTATTTTACTCACTTCTTCCAATCCCGAGAGCACTCTCAAACAACGACGGTGTCGTGACGAGGTGCCCTCTACCATCTGCATCGGCGTTCCCACACCCCAGTCACGGCAGAACGTGGGTATTTGGGTGCCAACACACCCCTAAGGGGACATGCCGTGCCGAGGAATTCCAAGGGGCTGCTGCGGGCTGAAGAAGGGCCTAGTCCCCTGTCGACGAACTGAGCTCCCAACTACAAGTGTGTCAAATACTCTCGGAGTTAATCCCGTATAACTACATAAAAATAATAAGACGCCACATTTATATCATATATGGTTACAACATGAGGGACCTCAAATGATGTAAAAAATGGCAAGTGAAATATCATGATGCAATTGCATTATACTAAAACATACATGAATAAAACAATTGGGCGATTACTGACCTGGATACGAGACGAGAGGTGATGAGAAGAGCAGATGAGTTGAGAGACGATGATCGACGGTTACGGGAAAAGCCCACGGGACGGAATAAAGGTAGCACGCGACGATCCACCAGCCTCGCACGACGAATGCGTACAGACGACTGACGGGAGTAGATACGCAGCGAAATGTTATGCTTACAACTAAATTCCCGCGTTTCCAGCAGTTTCTGGCCTTCGCGTTAGGACCGAAGGCGAGTGGACCTGGAGCGCGGTTTCCTCCCGACGCGTGCTGTAAACCGTGGAGGTCGTGCGAGAGGCACGACACTCCGGGGGCCGAAATGCACCCACCCTGTGATGACAAAAAAATGACAAGGGAAAGGGAGACCCAGAACCTGCCGATCATCGTGAGAGTACAAAATATACGAAAATATGTGACCAATCAAGTGTAAGTAAAGCTTCAGTATGCATCGACTAAACAAATATTGAGGCTGTAAGGGCACATCAGAAAAGCACCGTAATGGTAAGGCAAGAAATTGAGTACAATTGAGAACAAATTATACAAATGCTTAACTAAAGAGAATATAAGAACAACAAAAAAGATGATTATGATTCCAACTAACTGCACGTTGATGTTGGCGTCGACCACGTTGTTGACTTGAACCATGATGTTGATTGTCCACTTGCAACGCGTTGGCCATCACGAACGTCCAGCAGTTGAAACAGCTGGTGGCGTCTTCATACGGTTGTTCAACGGCAACGATGGTAGTTCTCATAGAGAACATACATGGCTCCGAAGAATTTCGACACGTCTGGACCAATGTCACGAATAAGGAAGTAGCTCAGAGGGCATAGGGTCGGATGATGCTCAGTAGAATCACAGACGCGGCAGGCAATATTGCGCTTACAGTAGCCTGGCGAATGGGCCTTCAGGCAATACAGACACTTGCCAACAGATACAGCTCTTATGGCGCGATCCGTGAGACTTTTGACTTCAGTGCATCCTGCGCTGTAGTGGTTTCCCTGACAGAAGTGACAGACGAGATCGGGTGGCTGCGGCTCTCTCGGCGGTGAAGGTCTTCGGAGACGAGAAGGAGACATTCTCTGTCGACGGTGCCTATCCGGAGAGTGACTGGTTGAAACGGTGCGCACAGCGCAAACTGTTCTGGTGTCGCGGTTTCGAGACGATGAGGACGGAGTAGGCGAAGTACGAGGTGTGAGTGAGACGGTTATCTTCTTATGATGAGGTGAAGTATTCGTACGACGAGTTGTAGTAACGAATGTAGACGAGCGAATATGCAGGTCTGGAGTAGACTTCTGTGTAGTTCTTCTGACAGCCTGCGCGGTTGATGTTTCAGGAGATTCCAGCGGAGTAGGCGAGACTGGAACGGGACCTCCGGTTGCGGCGTGCATCTCCTCAATAGTAGGAATATCGCTGAGGTCAATTGATTCAGCCGGTAGAGACGATTCGAGTGTAATGTTGTGAAGCCGTGCAATTGCAGAGTTGATCTTCTTGAGGGTGAGGAATTCAGTTGCTGTTTCTCCAGTAGCGGTCGTGCAGACGACCTTTATATAGCTGAGTGTGACATTGAAATTAGATAGCATATCGACGAGTTCCTTATTGTCCTCGATCGGATTTAGGACGTTTGGAATGAGCAAATCAGTCAATGTATTACGATGGTTCTGAATATTGTAGAGAATAGTAAGTAGTTGTTCGTAGAGCTCAGCTAGTTTTTCTTCAGATTTCCAGTACTCGACGTGCTCAGATAATTCTTTGATGAACGACTTCGACTTTTGGTTGGGCGCATGAAGGCCTTTGTATGCTTGGACGATCAGATAGATAGAATATTTCTTCACGGGCGGATAGTCCAGATCCGCTGGCGTTGGTAAGGTGGCGTCATCGACAATGCAATCCCGGAATGAGAAATAGTTGGCATGACGTAGGAATGCGTCAATCATAACGTAATCGCGAGTTGCTAAATGCTCGACACTGAACGTATGTTCGAAATTGGCTGCAACTGTTAGCGACTGTGCGATTCGTAGCGAGAGACGTTCATCTGGAGGTAGACTTCTGTCCTAGGAAGCGTCATCGTCGGCATACGAAACGTAGTCGGGATCATAGTTGCCCTCAGCGAGCGCAGAAATCAGTTCAAGAGGAGTTCTTTCACGATAGGGTCTGTGTAGTTGAGCAGAAGCTCCAGAATTTGTAAGACGAGGGTGCACACGTGCACGGTAGAACGAATTTTGGGATGACGGAGTAGAATTAGTATTTTGTAGTGCAGTGAGTACGGCCACTAGACTGTCCGTAGTAGAGGACTGGCCCGACTGAATAACAACAGGCGATTTCACATGTTTCGCTGGAAGCGGCGCCGACGATTTCTCATCAGATTCAGCTGGGCTGGCCGATCTCTTCATAGTTTTTTGCTTGTCAGACATACGAGTGCGATTACGCAAAGATTCGATCTGCAATCGACTAAGTCCAAGGATGAAGTTATACCAACGCGAAAAAAACGACTAGTTGACGTAGCAATGAATTATGGGTAAATGCAACAAAATGAAGCACGAAGAAATGCAAAAAGAAAGAAATGTAAGACAAAAAATAACAACGTTGAGCCGGGTAGGAAGACTGCGACAGGATGATGGTTGAGCCGGGTAGGAAGACTGCGACAGGATGATGAAATAATTCGGCTGTGTTCTTTGCCTGATTGAGGGAAAATACCGTATCCATGACTAGGTGCGCTCCTTAGCCTATCGATGTCGAGAGAGCGCAGATGATCAGAAGGAATTGATTTCTTGTAAATAGGCCTCGAGTTGGTAATAGAGCAAGAACTGCTGTAAAGGCTGAGCTGAATGGATACTACGGATGAGCGATGGATCCGAAGAGGAGAGAAATCCTGGAGTGTTAATGAGGGGGTTGGTGAACCTTTATATAGGAGTGAGAGGTCTTGGCCGCCCTTTGCGGTTGTATCCGGCTAGGACATGTCCTGGAGGGGTGTTGAGTGTCCTCACGAGGGCGCCGTGCATCATTTGAGGTGCGAATCTCCAGGGGGCATAGATGGTTAATTGACCTCTTCAGATGATTGCCATTAGGGAGACGAACTGTGGCTGCCCTAATTATATTGTGCTGACGCGACTGACCTCTGTTATTACTGCTAAGTTCCATTGTGGGCGTGGCTGTTGTTTATCATTCACTAATACGAATTCTCCCACAGATGGCAGTTTTGACGTAGATTTTCCTTGGTTTATTGTGGATGTATGGCGTTGAGCCACAGCGCTGAGATATTCCGTTGCCCAGGCGTTCCAGAAGTGATCTAGAACGTCCGACATGGACCTGTACCACTCAGCTAGATCCGGTTGGGAGTAGTAGAAATAGGGAACTTCCGGAGTAGGTAAGTGGAGGTTAACCTGTGGGACGAGAAAATCAATAGGTCGAAGTATGGTGGGTGACGAGATGGTAACAGAAATAGATGTGAGGGGAGGAGAATTCAATACGGCTTCTATCTCGAGGAGGATAGTGTGAAGGTGCTGCAAGGGAAGTGAGTAGCGGCCGATCGACTTCTTAAGGGAGGATTTGACGAGACCCACGAGTCGCTCATAGAATCCTCCTTTCCATGGTGATAACGGCGTGATAAACTTCCATTGAATTCGGCAAGTTGCAGTACGGCTGGAAAGAAGCTGCTGTAGTGTACTTTTCGCTGCACAAAAGGTGGGGGCGTTGTCACTAAGGATATATTCCGGGGTTCCTCGTCGTGCGACGAAGCGGCGAAATGCGAGCAGGAATTCATGTGTTGAGTTATCCATGACGATTTCGAGATGTATTGCTCTAGTGGTCATGCAGGTAAATAAGGAAATCCATATTTTAGATGTTGTAACAGACGTATCCTTGTACCGGAGGGGACCGAAGTAGTCCAACCCAATGTTTTGAAAGGGTCTCGATCTATTGACCCTTCCCTTTGGAAGGCTCGGCATAGCAGGATAACGATAAGGTAAACCATTCATCCTCTTGCAGATGATGCAGGATCGCAAGACCTTAGTCATCGCATTCCGAATCGATGGAATAAAGTGGGAACGGCGTAATGTAGCTATAGTGGCGTGTACTTCAGAGTGAAATTGAAGAAGGTGAACGTGCATAATAACCAGCTTCACAAGGGGATGAGATGGAACGAGAAGTATGGTTGCTGGTATGGGATTAGCTGCATGTTGCATGCGATGTGGACAGCGAATGAGTCCATCAGGAGACCGATGAGCGTTGAATCGCTGAAGTGGCATGCGAAGCACTAGCGGTTCACTTTCGCGGTAATGCTCTTCGATAAGAAGCGTTTCAGCAACACTGAACTCCGTCGGAGAAATATCTGTAGAAGGAATAAAGTGTTGCGAGTCAAAAACTGAAACGGAATAGTTGGTCTTGGCAGCCAAAATCGCGAAAAATTTTAGAACGTAGACGGTTGAACGTACGAGTTTACTGTACCGGCTGTTGCATTGGAAGCGAAATGGTGACTTGTAATGATGGCATTGCGCTGCTGACAACGTCTGATATTCGTTGTGTACCTCGTCATCATTCGCAGGTGGCGTTGTGAAGTTGTTTGCTCCAGGCCACTGTGACGACGGTAATCTAAGAAAGGGAGGACCTGACCACCAAATGTGGTCCTTAGCGATACTGGTGGGGATCCCACGCGAAGCGCAATCATCCGGGTTTTCTTGGGAGTTGACGTAGTAAAACTGAACTGGGATCGAAGAAGAGCGGAAACTTTCTACAATGTTGCGGATCTCCGTAACCCTGTTACGCACAAACGTACGGAGTGGACGGGAAGAATGAATCCAATAGAGAACGATTTGCGAGTCCGAAAAGATATGAACAGAAGCTATTTTCCGATGTAACTGGGTATGGACAAACCGAACCAATCGCAAACCGATTAAGGAGGCCAGTAATTCCATACGAGGCATCGTAATAGGTTGTCGTGGTCCAAGCAGAGATTTGGCCATGAGGAGATTGACTGCGACGGTGGAACTGCTACGACAAAGAAGATAAATACAAGAAGCGTACAAACGCTCGGATGCATCTGTAAACACGCAAAGTTCGCATTGGAGTTCTAATGGGCTAACCAAAGGTAGTATACATCGCGGTGTTGGTGGAATGGGGTGTTCAAGATCCTGAACAAGCTGATCCCAGCGAGCAAGGTCTTCATCGTCCAGCTGGTCGTCCCACTGGTAAGACTTCGTCCACAAATCTTGCAGGAAGACTTTTAACGGGGCGAGAAACGGGGAAAGAAGGCCCAAGGGATCAAAGGTTGATGCAAGCGCTCGTAGCGCAGCGCGCTTGGTTTTAGCCGGTCGATTAGTTGTTTTAATAGGAACGAAAAGAGTGTCCCGATTAGGTTTCCAGTGAAGGCCCAGCAAGGGTACATGAGAGGAGCAGACCAAGCGGTCGGCGGCATCTATAGCAGTGTTGACGGCAGATGAGTTGGAGTGAAATTGTCGTAAATTCATATGCATAGAAGAAAACAATGATTTAGAATCATGGTACTTACGTATCGCTTCTTCTGCCGTTGTTGCGCCGAGCAGAATGTTGTCGACATAGGTGTTGTTTTCTATCTCCTTGTTGAGCAGAGAATTAAGATCGCGTCTCAGGTAATACAGAATAGAAGCAGCAAGAAGAAATGGGGACGCGGTGATCCCGAAGGGGACTCTTGTGAAACGGAAGATACGAAGATTGCTGCTTGTCGGTGGCGAAAATGGATCAATAAGCCACAGAAATCGAGTGGCATCTCTCTGGCTACGTTGAAGACGAATTTGCAGGAATGCTTTTTCTACGTCAGAGATAAGAAGAATAGGATGCAGACGAGACCGAAGAAGAATTCCCACAAGGTCCGGAAGGATGGACGGACCGGGATAGAGGCAGTCGTTGAGGCTAGGTGCTCCTTTATAATGAGACGATGCATCGAATACAACTCTAAGCCTGGTGGTGGCAGACGATTCCTTGACCACAGCCTGATGTGGGATATAGTAGATCCTGTGATCGTCGAAGTGGTACTCATCAACTTCCTCGATAATTCCTTTGTCGAGGTAGTCCTGAATCGTCGAGGCATAGAGTTTCCATAAGTCCGGCTTATTAGTGAACGNATTTCGGAATTAGTGTCGAGTTGTTGTAGGTAGGCCACGAAAAAACTTGGATCCCGAAAGAGTTGGTCCAAAACGCGTGCGGCAAAGGACGAGTCCAGATGGAAGTGTTTGTGGACGGTCTGATGTGACAATATCCCAGAAGTAGTCTATGCCCACCAGAATGTTTGGTGTGACCATGCGTGGAGCTGTAAGTGAGGTGTAGTCAATATCTAGAGAGCGAAGGAATTGCATGTCTTCTTGTGTGATGTTGACTGGAGAATATGGGGCCGTAATTTTGTCCTTCGTGCGGAGGACCATCCGGAACTTCTTTCCTAGGTTGTCGATAAAGGCAATATCCACAATTCCAGAATTTTCTGTCGTACGTATTTCCCCGAAGGAAATTGTCGTCAGTGGAATTGTATTGGAAAAGGAAATATGAAGCTTATTAATAGTGTCCTGTGAAACGAAGCTTCTCTGTGCACCTGTATCAAGTAGAAGTACGACAGTTATAATAGTACCGGTCTGTGGGTTGATGGCTTCGGCTTCTACGGTCATCAGGGTAGAGGAAGCTGTCGTATCTAGCGTGGTAGATACCTGTGTTGCCGAAGGACTCTTGTCACGATATAGATCCATAACTTTTTCATATTCTTCGTCCGAGTCCAGAGCTGAGTAGACAGGAAGTTCGCGATCTTGCGTGCGGTCACGTCTATACGAGCTTCCACGGTAGGGACTGTTATCGCGTACGGGTGATTGAAAGCGGACTGTTCGGCGTTGGGAACTGCTTGATCTGTCTGACATTCCATGATGCGGAGGTGTTCGTTCGTAATGCCTTCTAGCAGAAAGAGATCTTTTGCGCGAAGGTGATCTTGAAGCTCCTCTTTCGAAAGATGTAGCTCTTCTAGGAGAGTTGCTTCGTGAATGCCTTTCTGATGACGAACAAGAAGATTCACGTGAATGTGGTCTTTTGCCAGAATCGGGTGAGCGATATCTCCTAGTGGAATGAGTACAGATAAGGTGGTGATGGGATCCGCCACAACGTGAACAGTCGGATCGACTACAAGCCCGACTAGGGTGTCCGGCACGGAGGCATTTCCAACAAAGACGAAGGGAATTGACTATGATGCGACGATTCGAAGGTGGCATGTAATAATGACAGCGCCTCGACGTATGATTGTATGAGTTGCAGAAGCAACACATCGTGGGGTCATATCGTGGCTCTGGTGTTGGTGTTCTCGAACGTTCGACGGAAACAGGGTTAGCCGCCAACAGGGATCCAGACGTGGTGACCGCGTAGTCCTCTAGCTTTTCGAACTCCTCGATGACTTCCTTGAGTGCATCCAGGAGTTCAGGTAATGTCCATGTTTTCCCTGATCGGTGTTCCAGTTTATTGACTTCCAATTGAGTTTCACGAGGAAACTTCTTCTTGATTAGGGTCATGAGTGACCACGAAGTGGTGGTATCTTCGTAGCGATTGAGTTGCATAACGAATGATTGGATTTGGCAAAGAGTATCCCTTTGTGCCCCAGCTGAGGTACTTGATGTTGGTAGACGCTCCAGTCTTTGGTGGAAGAGGCCATGAGTAAAATGAGGGCGATCGTATCGTTTTTTCAAAGCCTGGATGGCAAGGTGGTAATTTTCTAGTTTTGACGGATCTTACCCCTGGATTAATAACGCAGCGCTACCTTTTAGTGAATTTGCCAGATAAATGAATTTGGTGGACAACGAAAGACTGTCGTTCTCGTGAACCGCAGTCTTAAATCTGCACCAGAAGTCATAGAAATTAGCAACATCACCGTCAAACGTAGGTAATTCCAGCCGACGAAGCTGAATCGGCTGCAGCATGGAGGCAGAGGAATCCTGAGTAGCCGCAACTGTTGATCTTCCTGGATTATCGTCATTACCGCGGCATATCGGGATGTTGGTAGTTTGTGGCGCGTCGGCGATACTAATCGCTGACGTCGCGGTGACTATATCGTCGCTATGCTGCACTAGGAGAATGTGGTACATAGAGTCGTCCATGAGGAGTTGTGCGTCAAGCGTTACGATGATAACTTGCGCTTCCTCCATGATTTTCTCGCCTTGTTGATCTATCCAGAATTGTTCAAGCTCTTGCTTGATTGCGGCGGAGTTTTCTTGAGTTTGAGCAAAAGATAACGACGACTCGTAACGACCTCTTAGAACTTCTGTCGCCTTCTCAATTCCACGCTTGCCAGCGGAAATGATCCCTTTACGGCGTTGAATTGTGCGAAATTGTATTTCAGGTACCATCGTCTTGTCAATAGGCTTTAGACAACTAGGATCGACATTAGAAAGCATTCTAGAAAGCATTTCAATCGCAGAGGTTATCCGTGCGTTATGCCCTTGAAGAGTCGACATATTGAACCACGTGATCACTAAGTAGTTGGCCTTAAGAAAAGTATGTAATTTCTTGTTAAAGACAAGAAGAGCGACCATCGAGAGGACAAAACGTAATAACTGACGACTTCCAATGAAGACGAAGCTCCTCTTCTAGTGTTATAAACAGTAACAGCGAATAAAGAGAAAAGATAGAAAGTAGAGTAGATGTAAGTGTACAAAGCGAGTACATGGGCAAACAAGTAGTTGAGAGACAAATTATCAGAATGACATGACAGGGATTGCAAACAGGAGCAAAAGGGAGCAAGCGAGTTTTGGGGAATAACCCACACAAGCAAGAAGTAAATCATGGACGTCACAGCCCAGCGCGTGCAGATAGGCAACTTAGGTCAACACGAAGACTTACATGGATTACAATGCTCTTAGTGCCACTGGACTTGCTTCCGCACCTCAGTGGGCCGACCAGGAGCTCACCGACGCAGCGACTGGTTCCCACATCATTGGTCAGTCGCTCTCACCAGTCGACACCCATGCTACCTAAACTGCGATACCTGCAAGGTGCATTGAAAGCCTACACCACGACCCACGACGCGCGCGTTTACCCAGTCAGTGCAACCTACGCTGTGTGGATTATACCGAAAGGACCCCTGCCACTGGTCCCGACAGTAACACTGGTTCTAGGTGCGTGAGCGGAATGCGCAGCCCTAGCTACGACGTACGTGACGCTGCTTGCCCGTGTGAGGTACTAACCAAAACGTGCATGCGAACTCAGCAGATTGCGGGAACTTGATAATGTTCTTGCGACGCGGAGCTGACGATGCTGACGGCTGAAGATACATGGCACGACGAACGGGTTCGACACATCAGTCAAAGTCGCACTTCGACGACAATGACTGCGGTCGATGCACCATTTCTGTCGTGACGAGGTGCCCCCTACCATCTGCATCGGCTTTCCCACACCCCAGTCACGGCAGAACGTGCCCACACACCCCTAAGGGGACATGCCGTGCCGAGGAATGCCAAGGGGTCCTGCTGCGGGCTGAAGAAGGGCCATTTCCTCTGTCGACGAACTGAGCTCCCAACTACAAGTGTGTCAAATACTTTCGGGGTTAATCCCGTATAACTACATAAAAATAATAAGACGCCACATTTATATCATATATGGTTACAACATGAGGGACCTCAAATGATGTAAAAAATGGCAAGTGAAATATCATGATGCAATTGCATTATGCTAAAACATACATGAATAAAACAATTGGGCGATTACTGACCTGGATACGAGACGAGAGGTGATGAGAAGAGCAGATGAGTTGAGAGACGATGATCGACGGTTACGGGAAAAGCCCACGGGACGGAATAAAGGTAGCACGCGACGATCCACCAGCCTCGCACGACGAATGCGTACAGACGACTGACGGGAGTAGATACGCAGCGAAATGTTATGCTTACAACTAAATTCCCGCGTTTCCAGCAGTTTCTGGCCTTCGCGTTAGGACCGAATGCGAGTGGACCTGGAGCGCGGTTTCCTCCCGACGCGTGCTGTAAACCGTGGAGGTCGTGCGAGAGGCACGACAGACGGTGACTATATTTTACTTCAGGTACTTGATTGTTCACCCCATCCATTGTGAAATTTGAACACGCTTTTTCTGCCAGAATTTGAATCACCTCATCTGATTCCGAAAGCACTTACAAACGGTCTAGAATTTCCCCTTGCCTTTCCCTAATTAAATGTATATCTCGTCTACTGCGAAAGTCCCAAACCTCTGTTTTATTATATATTTTCTCTCTTTCTGATCCCATGAACACAGCCCTGGAATTTCTCCCTTCCCTTTGTCTGATTTGATGTTCACGCTTTCTGCTAATGGTGGGATTATTTTAGGACCTCGAAAGCACAGTACTAAAAATTCCCCTTTGCTTTGTTCTTCAATTTTACCCAGTCTACTGCGAATGCTTCACATCTCTTTCCTAATGAAATTTGTGATTATTTTACTATGTCAAAGGCACGATGCTGAGCATTTTCTCTTTTGTCTCTTTACCTGTTGTATACAGTGTCCACTGTCGATGTTCTACATCTCCTACGTAATACATTATGCACTTTTTCCGCAATCCCGAAGAACTTTGTAATAATATTGAATATTCTCCCTTCTTTTTGTGAACGTGATGTTTACCGAGTCTAATTTGAATGTTTCTCATCTCCTCCCTGTTACATTTCGCACTTTTTTCGCGATCCCGAAAAGTTTGTAGCACAATTGGGAATTTCTCTTCTCTTTATCCACATGATGTTGAACCCGTCTACAGAAAGAATTTCACATCTCTTTCCTAATACATTTTCTAATTTTTTACTATTATTTCAAAGGCACAGAACTAAAAATTCTCCCTTCGCTTCATCAACATGATGTTTTCTCAGTCTACTTTGGCTGTATTGTATCTCTTCTTAATACATTTTGTGATTGTTTACGATTTCAAAAGCACAGCACTAGAATTTTCCCTTCTCATTGTTCACCAATGGCATACCCAGCCTACTGTGGATGTACAATATCTCTTTCCTAATATATTTCGCACTTGATCCTGAAGGAGTTTTAATGACTAATGCATATTTACATACTTCGCATTATCCACCTGATGTTTTCCCAGTCTACTGCGAATG